ATGATAACGAATGATGGCCCCTTTTGCATTGCATTGCATATCAGAGATGGCAGATTGATAAAAAGACATGCTATTTATGACTAGATGTAGCTTTTGATACTTGATACTGTACATAATATACAGTACCTGTACATACAAAACTGTATATTGTAATATACCTGCACATACAATTGTCAATTTATGTATTTTTATTCCTCATTCTGTTACACTGTGGAAGCTTCTGTCACGAAAACAAATTCCTCGTATGTGTAAACATACCTGGCAATAAAGCTCATTCTGATTCTGATTCTCTGTAAAAGTGGCTCTCTGATTGACTTTGCCTTATCAGTGCGGCTCTCATAAAAAAAAATAAAATAGTGAAGACCACTGACCTACAGTCTTACAAACATTTACAAACTGTATCCGGTATGATAAGAATGTTATGTTACATTTTATGTTAAGTTATGTTGCATTTTCACTGTTTACAATGGCAGGGCCTGCCAATCTTGTCTTTTCGGCTTGTTGTTTCTGTTTGCACTTTAACCCCAAGGGGGAAATCCAGATCAAATCCCAGAAGGGAAAATCAAAACAAAATAAAGTTAAAACTTGTTTTGAACAATTTCTTTGTCATCTGCAGAATGATTTTAAGTGTGGGAGGGGGGGGGGTCGATTTAAATCGTAAATCTTGGAAATTGTTTTTTAGGCCATATCGCCCAGCACTACATGTATTGTAAGTAATGTTGTCTCTGGTCTGTGTGTGCGTATACGAGTTCAGGGGGCGTGGCTTTGGACGGCGATTTGCAGGGAGGGTGGGACCTTTGCTTTCAGTGCTATCAGGCTAAAGTTAGCATTTTCCAAGATCTCCTACTGCACCTTTAACCAAGACGTTTAAAAATAACACATTTTAGAGCTGTACCTGTAATAGCGTGATACCATGAAACTCCGATATTTTTGTTTAAGGTTATCATCCAGCCCATGACTACAAGGTGCATTATAGCTGTACATTTAGACCTGAGAATGCTTTAACATTATAACGCCACATGATGCCTAAGATGTCTCACATTTCAAAATTTCTTTTAAATGTTGAAATTGCCCAAATAATAGCCTATTAACATACACACTTGTAGAAGGTTCCTAGTAATAAGAATGACTTACTACAGTTGATTTTTTTCTTTAATTATTATAATTCACCAAAATAATTTCCATTCAAAGGTTTGTAGTACATTGCTAGTGTCCCGACTGACTTAAGACGAGAGGTATTGGAAAACTCACTCAACTATTTACCTCAATCACGCGTCTTTATACAAGTACACTAACTTTCCAATTGTTGCAGCTCACTTTCAGTGAGTCAGCTTGCATTTACTACAACATTGTAAAATCATTCATTTGAAGGAGTCATTGGGTGTCGTTTATGGTTTTTCACTGGAATTTGCAGACTGTCCCTTAAACAATGCTATTATCCACGGAATATAGAACTTAAAACTAACTTTATTGCGCAAACAGATTTGATCTGCCAAAGAAAAATCTCAAATGAGAAATAACAATCAATAAAATCACAGCAGCACTACTTTAAATTGGATCGCATTCATTGCCCTCACAGATCACGAGACTAACAGCAACATTATCACTGCAAACATCGAAAACATAAAATCGCTCAGTTCTTACTTTACATGTTTTCCTC